GAGCCGTCCACAAACAGGGTGAGGTCAGGATCTATTAGTGGATCCTCATGCACGGTTGGCAAATGTGTTGTTTCCATTTTCATCTGTTCAAAACAGTTATGGGGCGTTTCTGGATCATAGTCGTGCTTTATGACCAGATCTTCAAATTCATCTTCCAGAAAGTACCGTGGCCATGCTTTTACATGTTCAGTTGTTGGGTACTTGACAACGCCTTTTTCTTGGAGCGGTAGTTCATCCATGGTGGCCCATAGTTTTGCCATGGGCCCGAGATCACCCCATGACTTTATCTTTGATTTGGTAACAGGGACATGTGGAATGGCTGTGTCCCAATGGTGATATAGATGTTCAAGTCCAGGTGATAGTTGAACCAAAATCATACTGTTGCTTTCAGTATCGCAGTAAAAATCTTGTAAAATGAGTTTTACCTCAATTAATTGATAAAGTTCATCTTCATAATGAGGGTCAGGGTTGATGGTTGGCTTGTACCACATGGTACAGAAGGCATACTCTGGCCCGTCACAGGCGGGTAAATTGAGGTGCATCTTTTTAATGGTGTGGGTAAGAAGTAGGACATAGCCTTCATCCATGATAAATCCATAGTAGCTACCCCCCTCAGGAAGTGGCAGAAGAGTGGACGGATTCAGAACCTGACATCTTTGAAGGGTAACATTGTCAGGTAACAGGAGATGACATTGGAGACGAAGGTGCCTGGCAGGGGTGACATGTTTGAGTTGGACCTGGTTAAGTATGGCAGAAATATCATGAGGTGCCAAAACAGTCAGAGGGTGGCCAAGAACCAGGTCCCCAGTGCGGTTGATGAGTTCCTGAGCGGCAAAAACAGCTCGGAGGCAAGAGGGGGTTCCTCTAGCCACAATGTCTAGTTGGCAAGAGAAGAAGCCAATTTGGCGGCCGCCAGGTCCATGGGCTTGAGTAGGGACTCCTGTAGCGTGGCCTTGTCTTTCAGACACAAATAATTTGAATGGTTTGGTGTAGTCTGGCAAGCCAAGGGCGGCAGCAGAGGCAATAGCACGTTGGAGAGTGTAGAAGTTGTCATGTGCTTCTGAGGACAGACAGAACGGGTCTGATTTAGGAGCATCGTACAAAGGTTGCATGAGTAGAGAGGCCTCTGGGATCCATGCTCGGCAGTAAGAATTGAGGCCTAGAAAGGCGTGGAGGGATTTAGGAGTTGTTGTTTTTTTGGAGGCGGAATGGCCAGAACCGCTCCGACACGAACACGGGTGAGGTGTCTAGTGCCATGGGACAGGCAATGGCCTAGAAAGATTACTGTGGCCTGGCAAAATTGAAGTTTGACAAGAAATGCCTTACACCCCTGATCTGCAAGATAACAAAGGAGGTCCAGAGAACATTTTTCTGTCGTGGGGATGTCATCTCCAAGTAAGATGGGAAGGGAACAAAGAACTGTAGTGTCTTTTCGTGACAAAGGTGTATTTAATTGAACCTGGCCGTCTGCAGTGAGGGTGATGGATGCTTGGAGGCGGGATAGGACATCAGCACCCAAGAGGTTAATGGGACATGTGGAGGAGAGTGAGTGGGTTACTGCGGGAAGTACCATCAACACCAACACAAGAGACATCGGTGTCAGACAGGAACGATGAGTCAGGCAGGTCTTGTTCTCTAAGAACACTGCGGGCTGCACCTGTGTCAACCAGGCAAGTAGTGGGATGACCCTCAACGGGTAGTAGCTAGTGGCCCTCCCCCATCCCCTGTAGACACGTGGCAGGGGCATTAAGCATCAGCGGGTTTGCTCTCCTCTGTATGGGCTGTGTTACTGACTCTAACCCCTTTCTATGTCATAGCTTTTTGCAGTCTGAACATGTCTATCATTATAAATAATGGTTAATAGTAAGTGAAGTAAAGTTCCTATATGTCTTTGGATAAAACATTAACTATTGCGGTACTATAATTTATATTAATTAGGCCATAACAAGTATACCACCCTGTAACTAAAATGAATAACCAGTAGTGGCTGGGTTAATAAAACATGTCACAAACCCTTCTAATGCTAAACCATCATTTAACGTACAGGATGTTACTGTAAACATACGATCTGTAACTAGCAATATTTGATTAAGTAAAGATACAATGTTTAAAATAACTTGCATTATTTGGCTATTTCCCTTGTTGCAAGATTAATCTGGATAATCAGCTGTTATGCTCTTATATTCGTGTCCAACAGATCTCATTTGTAGGTCACACCACAGTTGCAAATGACATTTTAGCAACCTTTTTTTTTTTTTTGTTATCACGGACACATTTCTGATACAGGGAAACAAATGGCATGATTGTTTTAGTAATTATAATGTTTCTGTTCATAATATGTAGAGTGTAAGGAAAACAACATGTCTCTAAATAGGACGCGCATAATAGGGGTAGGCCTCATGATGGAGGCAGCCATGACAGGGGCGGGGAAGGAAATGACAGCAAGGGAGGAAGTGAGAGGGGTGACATCCATGATATGTGTGGGAAAGGAAGACAGGAGGTGTGGGCATGGTAAGGGCGGAAGTGACGTCACTTTAGAAGCAACCGTGACTGTAGATAGGTCACGGGACTGGCAGAGTCAACCTCCTTCTCTACTAGGCGCCATCTTTAGGGTGGTGGCTGACGCACTTTCAACAATACACTATATTATAACTATTAAAATAAGTCAGTTCCGAGATGAAACACTAAACTATAAATAAACCTGGCAGGTTAAATAAGACAGTTGAGAACATTATGCATTTAACAGCCCATAAAGCTGTCCATAGAAACATGTACTTTAAAGTTACATGATGCAAAATAAACTCACGGAATTCAATCAATTTCCCTTATCATCCAACAACCATTAATCACCTTCCTCTTCATATACTAACCTAGCTATACTGCATAATCCCTCTATCCACATTGCTTAGTATTGCAACAAATCACACTTAACACGTCCAAATATCCCTCTATTATTGTTATCAGGCTACACCTTCCTAAATCCCGTATTCAACACTGAATGCATTCTTGTGAGCTAGTCTCCCCCACAATCCTCACTACTTTATCACAAAACACAATTTATATATATATATATATATATATATATAAAACACTGCGGAATCTGTTGGCGCCATGCAAATGGCAATAATAATAATATTATTACACACTTATAACACCATAACCTTTGAATTAGAACGTCTATGTATATAACAATGTACACAATATTACACAATTAGAATATTTTCCAGCAAAAATCCCGTCTCTAACTCTTATCAGTAGCTCCGAAATGCAGGCATGTCACTCCTCCCCCCTAGGCAAGGGGGGGGGGAGAAAGTGAGACAGAGTGCAAAAAGGGGAGAGAGAGAAACGAGAGAAACTGCAGGCATGAAGGTTAACCATGTGAGCGCCGTAAAGTAACAAGACAGAAGGACAGAGACTTATACGTTTGGAAACCAGAAATCTTTGACGGGAGAAACGGACTGGAGGTGCAGGGAGCTGCAGAGAGAGGATGAGGGTGACGAGATCTGTAGGACTGATGGGGGGGAGAATAGGGATCCATCAGCATTCAGGACTGGGCAAACAGGGGCGGTGGTAGGGTGGGGACCAGGGGTGGGGACCATGGTCAGCTACATTTCGGTCATTGCTGTCGCGATGTTGGGAGTGGTCACCTCCTGGGCGCCATCATAGGGCGCTGGCTGGGAGGACTTAACAGTAACACAATTATTATAATACACAAACAATCTTAAACCTTTGTGATCAATTTCTTCCTCAACCTATCCCTTTTGCTGAATAGCTCTTGCTACTCGGTACCATGCTTCTGCTGTACGAACCAAATCGTGGTCCGACAGCTTCCCTTTCTTCTCTGTCAGTAACTTACGCCAGCTCTCTGGCTGCAATCTGCCGCACGGAGGTACGGTAATTCCACATACTTTAGCAATCTTCCTCACTTTCTTAACCATCTCTTCTCCTTCTCTGTCTTCCACTAGATCACATGCTAACCAGCCCTTACTGGGTTTATCTAACTTCTGTCCCATC